CAGCGACTTAAGACTGGTTTTGTGGTCCAGGGTCACATATCAGTTTACATCGGTGAATGCAGCTTGTGCTTTTGGAAATGTTGTTACTAAATTGTAAACAAATATTACAATCAATTAGTTTGGGTCTTTGCACTTTTTTGTCAGTGTTATTTTGTGACAAAAACAAACCACATTAATAAATCTTTCTCTCCAGGCATTTTCTGGTGCCGCACAGAAGATATGGGACCAAATGGTAGAGCTGAAGTCCAGAAAAGAGAGAGTGTACAACATGACCCATGATGGTAATCACCAAAATTTGGATTTATCAGATATTTAAACTCCAACTAATTTAGCAATAAACCCAAAATCTGCTTTCATATTTTTCTTAGATGTTGCATCTATGGTTCATGTTGTTTTTCCTTTGAATGTTGTTAACAGGATACCTCAAACTCTGGCAGCTGAGTAGACCACAGCTGGACCGATATGATGCCATATTTATTGACGAAGCTCAAGACTGCACACCAGGTTAAAATAAATCTTGGTTTGGTAATTTCATCTAGATTTAGGTCATTTAAGGTAGCATTAAATTTTGTTTGATATTGTTTTTATTTTATTTTATTATGCTGTATTAAAGAGCTGAATTTTGTGGTTTCAGATTCTGTAATGTGTTGTTGACTATAATGTGTTCTGTTTGTGGTCTTTGATTTTTCCAGTCGTCATGGGCATTATGCTCTCTCAGAACTGTGGGAAAATCCTGGTTGGAGATCCTCATCAACAGATTTACACTTTCAGAGGAGCAGTCAATGCTTTGCACGCGGTTCCTCACACACACATCTACTATCTCACACAGGTACAAACAAAAACACAGGAAAATGAAATTACAGATAATATTTGTAGAGGAAGTGGGCCACACATAATTCTACCACTGTGATAAACATGTTTGTGGGTAAATATGTTCTGATATGACCACTCATATTTTTCACAGAGCTTCAGGTTTGGATCTGAAATCGCATACATTGGTGCTGCAATATTGGACAGCTGTAAAAAAGTGAAGCAGATATTGGTTGGTGGGAATCAGGATGGTAAGTTTAAGAATTTATATTTAGGCAATTATGATTATTATTATATTTTTGCAAATATTATTATTAATAGTGGTAGTAGTAATGTGAAATTGTTTTAATACGGTTGAATAAAAATGCTTAAAGAAACGCTAACCCTGTTGTTGTTGTTTTTTGTCTTTTTAATTGAAGTATGAACCTGGCAATAATAAAAATGCTATGTGTCTGTTTTCAGGGAGTGTTCGAGGGGAGGACACACAAACACTGCAACATCTGAAGTTGGGACAGAGGCTGCCAGAAGGGAGCGTGGCCATTCTGAGCCGCTGTAATGTCACAGTTTTCAGCGAGGCTGTCCGACTCACAGACGTCAACCCCACCTGCAAGATCTACATTGTGGGAGTGAGTACATGAAACATTTGTCCAACCT